AAGAAAAAAGAAGAAAAGAACCTTTGCCTAAAAACGTCTAAAAAATCCTTCTGATTTCTTCTTCTAAAAGGCACGCATGGATTTATTAACTCCCTGAGAGTGTGGTTGCGCTGTGTTGCAGGAGAAACAGTTCAGCTCTTGCAAACAGAATCCTTGCCCACAAGAGCTTAGAGATGTATTTGATCAAAATAAATTATGCCAGTTTTAAATTACTGTTAAGATTTTCATGCAAAGATGGACTGGAAACATGAGACATAGGGCTCAGAAGTCAACCCAGAATTCTCCAGAGGAAGCAGAGGCTTCTGGAAGAAAACACAATGCATTGAGCACCAGGCAGTCCCCAGCTGTCTGCTGGCTTTGACACGGACTCACTGTCTGGCTGTGAAAGGCAATGCCCCTCACTGTGGTGTTAATGCTGCTGCCAGCGAAGGGGTGTTGGCATACTCGGACACCTCTCAGAAGTGCTGTGAGACTCTGTGAATAAATACCCCTGCAACACTTTGAATGCTGAGTGTAAACCCAGGCAATCCACAGCAAGTTGCTGTAACCCAGCAGACACTGAGCTTTTGTCTCTATTCATGCTTGGGTGGGAGATGGCACCGAAAACCCAGTACGTGAGTGGTAGAGCCATGGATTTTCTACTGTCAAAGCCTCACACTCTAGGACTCTGCTCTTCTACCTTCCTCAGCTCTCAGCGCTTTGCTTTGCCACAACGCTGAGTCTCAGTCCTTTCCTCATCTCCTGCAGGCCTTGACCTCTTATCCTTGTTTTGCAAAATGTGATGTTGTCAAGAAGCTGAGATGCCTTGCAACTGCAGCCCATTAAAATGCTGCTCAGACCATTTGTCCCTCAGAAAACCCTGGCACCTGCCTTGGGCATTTCTCCCAGGATCCCAGAAACAGCAGCCCTTGTGCTTACAGGAACACAGAGGCCACGTGTATCCCTGGATCTGATGTGAGGAGCTCAAGGGTGGGGTCAGAGCAGACATGGAAAAAAGGATCCGTGAGCTGGCTCAAAGTTCCAAGTTGGCCATGGATCTGCATTTCTCTGGCTGGACCCAGACTTCTACCTCTCCTGTGGATCTTTGTTTGTCTTAGGGACAATCTGCATTGCTGCCATCGTGAAACGGCCAGCCCGTGCTTTATGCAGCTGCCTCCCTGTTGGCTAGCTAAGATTCTGGGGTGATGTAATTGCCTCTGGAAATAGGAGCTGGAGAATGTGATGTGACGAATTTCCCTGGACCACCAAATAAATTAAAAAGCAGGCTTTCAGCCCAGAGAGGTTACCCTCCCAAATAAACAAGTCCCAGCCTCCCTTCCTTACACACACTTACCTTCTTCCACACCAGGAAGCTGAGCTCCTCGCAGACTCCATTACAGATCCAAAATGAACAGGTTCTTCCAGCCAGTCAGCATCTCCCATACAGTAATTGCTTTGGTATGGGCATCTGAGTACAAGACAGAACTGTATATACTAGAAATATTCTCTTTGCATAAACTTCTCAGTAGACTTACTTTTGTCTTGTTGCCAGGAAATGTACTTGGGGCCTCTCGCTAGCTTCACATTTCTTTGATTAGAGGGGCACAGTCAGTTTGTTCCGATAGTTACAGGGGAACTGAGAAACTGGAAAATCCTCTCTAAGCACAACAGTTCTGCAACTGCACATAAGACCACCCTATTACACCACCTCTCCTGTGACGGTCACATTTCCATGGATTGGAAAGGAAGGGGGAAAAAAGCCCATCTTGCACACATGCTTCTCCACAACAGCTTATGCCATGGTAGATAACCATACAACCTGAGATCATTTAAGCAACACAACGCATGGCACTCCAGCATGGAAAAGGGGCCATGTCATAACCAAGGGCAACGAGTGGTTCTGGGAATCAGAAAACGTCTAACATGGTTGGGTGGGTTGGACAGGAGTTTAAGAAAGCAACAATATAGTCAGCCAAACTGTAGTGTGGCCAGGAAAGGAGAGTTAACACCTTTTCTCTGCCAAAAAACACCTCTTGGCCAGTAATGACAACTAATGGCCAGGGCCTTGGCATCACAATCTGCCCAAAAAATTGAAAGGTGGAACATGCAGATTCTGTGCCCAGTTCTGGTCAGGACTGCTTTGTGACATGGAGCAAAGCACTTAGCTTCTCTCAGCCCCAACTCATCTGTGTGCACAGCACTCTGGGTTAGTTCTTGTCTCCCTCCTGAGGCTCAGTAACACTTTGTTAAATGCCTGTTTCTTCTAGGAGGCAAGGTGATCCAGAGAGTGCAAAGTACTTTATTTTTGTACTGTAAAAACCAGCTTCCTTCGAAGTCTCACTCATTAAGTCAACAGCCGTTGTAATCCAAGCTCCTTTGATGGAAGGAATAAGTGGGGAAATTGCCAAAGGCAGGATTAGCTGATGGATGTCTTGAGTTGCAAGGGTGTCTCATACGGATTTGTGGCTGGATTTTCACCTCAGCTGTCCTGGCTGGAATGTCTGTCCTACCGTACTGAGACACTCCTCTTGCAGACCCTGCTCTGCCTCTAGCAGTGGGGCCCTGGCTGAGGACTGGTTGCACTGTAATTCCCAGCTCCTCTGCTAACTAAGGAATATGGCGTGCCAAAGAAAACCAAGATCCAGCCTGTGAAGAACGTACCTGTTGTACTTGCAGGGAAGTGACAGTTTGTCCAGAAACAGGACTGATACAGGTGTGCTTCCCGACTTGGCTTCTCAGTGATGCTCTGGGCCACTGCTTCCCTTCTTCAGTAGGGGTTACCATATGCTTTTCTCTGAACAGCAAATCCTTTGTGACCTAGGAATAAAAGTACTGTAAACTGGTTTCTACATTTAGGTCTAATTGTGAGTAAAGGCGTTTAGAAGGAGCAGACCCAACACATCCTGCTGGACTGTGACGGGCAGCAAGTTTCTTGCTGTTCCCCATTCAAAAGGAGTGGCAGCACATTCTTTCTTTTTCCTCGTTTCTATTACAGTGCCTCCTTAGTCCTCATCTCTGTCCTGATCTCAGATTTCTGTTACTGTGATTCCACTGATGGAAGGTAACAGCAATTACATTTGTGTATTTGTGTGCGCTCAATATGGGACAGAGAAGAAAGACACAATCTGCAAAGCCAGACTACACCCACTTCTGTATCCTCTATTTATGTGAAAATTTTCATGTTGAAAAAAAACAACTTTCTAAGTTCTCACAATTCAGTTAAGTCTTAATGGGTGTTAACTACAAATACAAGATTATATTCTCCTAAAATGTCATTATCTGAAAGTCATTCTTGCAATGGGGACACTGAGGATGAAAATACTCTAGCCTGTCAGTTCTCCTGCCTTCTGTGCCATACATCTCTCTCCTCTCCAGCTACCACCTTTGCAACTCACACATGCCTACCTTAAGGTCACAGTTTGTTTCTAGTTCCCAATGCTGGGTGCTATGCACAGCACTGTCTGCTTTTGTCTGATGAATGGCACAAAGCTGGAGTCAAGCAGGTACTCCACACTCTTTACACATTGCCAGGTGTCCTAGATTTTCTGTATCTCATAGGATAATTAACCCATCTGCAGGTGATTGTCTACTTGTCTGCCAAAGGACCTAGTGGAGAGGGTATGTGAGACAGCTCGTAATGTTTTTGTTAAGAGGTCCCTTTGGATTGCATTTAGTAGAAATGTGTTTGTTTTCCAGAAGAGAACCGGTTACAGAAACAACACCAAGCAAAAAGGCTTTTCTACAGCAGGGTTCTATTTACCATGTTCATTCAGGGAAAGTTATATGGGAGGAGAGAGGAAGTAGTTAAACCCTTGTTTACCATGCTGGAAACCAAAACTCCCTCAGTTTACATAAATAAGGGAGAAAATGGCTTAGTTGTATGAGCACATGGCTGTGACTAAGGAGAGCTGGGTTCTGTTCTCCGCTCTAATGTGCAAAACTCTCCAGGGCTCTCCTCCCCTCAGTGTGAGATTCAACTTGTTAACGTGAGGTGTATGCCAAATCACTAGTTAACAGAGACAGGATTTTCCAATGCCAGATTTATCCATCAGCATCAGATAGACTGAAAAACCTAGCAAGAAGTACTGGCCTTGCTTCCCTGATTACTAGGCAGCTGTAAGAACCAGCTGGACTAAGCAGCTGAGGTAAAATGAGACGAATGTAACCCTGCTTTCAGGGCTTTCTATACACACAATGAAGCTAACTAGTCCTTCCCTATCTGACCATGGGAGTTGGAAAGGATTCATGTACTAATTATTACAACATGCTCTGATGCCGAGATGCTGGAGGCCATACAATCCTGACTGTTAGCAGATCTGTGTACTCAAGAAGGCAACCAAGGAAATGAGTCCACTGATTCCTAAATCCTTATGGTTTGGTACATGTATCCTCCCCTTTATGCGGATGGTTCGGATCACCAGAATGATGTGCTCACACATCTTTCGTGAGACAGAATTTCTATTTTATGTAGAGAATGAAATCTGCTGGGGATGACAGGACAAAGCTGCCTCTGTTGAAGGAGTTCAGAAGAGATAATTAGTTACTAAACTCAGCTGAGTTAGGGAACCGGCAGGGTTTGCTCTGCCTGCTGAATCATAATTACTGCATGCTGTGAACTAAAGGTTGCATCAGATATCATTTTGGAGATCTGCAACAATAAAGAAGAACAGAAAGACAGGGAACGAATCCCACCTGAGCAGTGAAAAAACTTACTGGAGGCTGAGAAAGTTCTTACTTGCTCAGAGTCCCTCTGCCTTAGCATCCATTAAGGTAGGGAGGTTATATAGCATAATCCCAGAGTAGGGGGCAAGTCTGATAGCACCCAAAGAGAAGCCCTTTCAGTGGCCTATGTTTTGCCTTTGGTAACTGGTCAGAGTTGCCTCTCTCACCAAATCAAGGCAGCCCCAAAATGGTTCCTCTGGGAGCATTAATGTTTTACTGAATCACTTAGTTTCTCTTGATGACTGCTGCTTCAGACTCTCTGCGGCTGGATCCCAGTGGGGATTTTGTTGATGGGGGTTTATTGACTGCTTGTTACCTTGAAGTTACTGCAGTGGCAAGAATCACAGGTAACTCCTGGAGTCTGTTTATTTTATGGGTTGTGTTTTTAAGAGTTTGCAATGGCACCCTAATTTTAGGAGAAGCCATTTGTTTATTTAGCAATGCACACATGCACTGATCCATAAATAAAACCGGTGAGCTACCTAGAATCTTCACTTTGGTCCTCAGTAGAGATTTTTAAGATTTATACTGCTGGGGCTACAGAAAGGACAGACTTGTACTGACAACTGGTGTCACAGCGGACTCATAGAACTGCACTTGAGCTGGAATTCATCTAACTTCATTTAAACATCTGAGATTGACTTAGAAGAAGATTGAGGTTGGATGTCAGGGGGAAGTTCTTTACCATGAGAGTGGTGAGGTACTGGAACAGCTGCCCAGGGAGGTTGTGGATGCCCCATCCCTGGAGGTGTTCGAGGCCAGATTGGATGGGGCCCTGGGCAGCCTGGTCTAGTATGAAATGGGGAGGTTGTTGGCCCTGCATGTGGCAGGGGGGTTGGAGATTCATGATCCTTGAGGTCCCTTCCAACCGTGCCATTCCTTAATTCTGTGATTTGTCAGAACCTAAGGAGCCTGTAGGCTCCTAGTAAAGTTCAGTACATAGGATAACCATGTAGAAAGTTTCTGGTAGAGCTGATCTCTCCTCAGTGACTGTAATAGGAAGTTTTGACAATTACCTTAAAATATCTCTTAGATGTCTGAATTAGGTCGGAAGCCTCTCGCCCTTGTTGTGCCTGTGATTACTTGCAGCCATGGAGAAGGGAGCCCCAAGGTCATTAGGTTATTGCAGCTGGTCCTATGTACCACATCACAAATCCTCATGATTGAGAAGCATAAGATACAGGCACTGTACTTCAAAGTGACTAGGGTAGCCCCGCGTGGAAGCAAGACATGCTAGGTGTCCCTCAGGAGATCCTGTCACAGAGTGTTGGGATAGAACCAAGTTCAGCAAATAGCATCCAATGCTGATCTGGAAATGTTCTTGGCAAACCCTGCTGGACTATTTATTTGTGTTGTGGAAGATCCAGATTACACAACAGTCATCATTCTTCTGCAGCTGATGATCCATTAAAAGCTGACAAGCCACATATATTTCAAGGACCACAGGTCACCTCAACAAATACAAGCTGTCTGTTCAACATGTATGCAGCACATCTGCAAAACTGTTAACCGTGTGTGTACACACACGTACCTATCTTCCTACATCCGCTTCTAAGCACTTGAGGGCTTTCAAATCTGGTCTTCCAGATAATTCTGTAAGCTTAGCCTTGAGTGAAGCTTAGATTCTTAGAAGCCAGATCTTCAGAGATCTGTAGGAATCCACTGACGAGCAAGCGTCCATTAAGTGCACTTGTAAGATTTATTCAAACATCTCTAAAAACCTTAGTCTTAGGAGCTTGAGAATACCAGACTGGGTTAAAAAGCCTGCAAATTCAACATTTCTTGAAAGGAGAAACAAGGAAGAGAGATGCTCCACCAATTTTGTGTCTTTATTTTTGCTGCAGGTGTACACTGCTTTGTTGTGTACTGATGCTTCAAGACGATCAGAAGCTGTATATGTTCATGAGCACAATGTTCAGCGCGAGTCCTCTCTCTGCAGGACATACCAGCTTGGCCTAGTAAGCAGGCTAACCACAGCCACACTGTTTCAATCCGCTCTGAGCACAAACAGAATAAGTTTATGTCTGCCTGCAAAACACTCCATAGTTCCTGTAGAGGCCTAATTCATGGAGGTGTTAATCACTCACAGCTCCCACTTATAGAGAACTGTAACGCAGCCCAGATCACTCTTCTGTGCCTCAGTTTCCTCATCCAAGTCACAATGATAACACATGCATCAAGGTCTAGGGATGTACAGTGTCATTCAAATACTGTTATTGTTTATGGTGATGATGAGAATGCAAACTTTGTTTGTATAAAGGTCTGGGAGTGCCTACGTGACATCAACTGAAAAAGATGGGTATTAACTTCCATCCTTGACATACAGCACGCTGTGATTGCTCTCAGATGAACAGAATTACCTCCTCTTAAAATCAAAGGTAACTCATTTTATTTCGGTGAGGTGTGGTGATGTCCATAGAGAACAAATCACTTTTGGCAAGTGCAGGAGGAATGTCTCGGCAAGTTAGAAGAAGCATCAAAACTAAAGAAGAATGGGATGCAAGACAACTGAATTTAATCAGATGTAGCAGTCAGGTTCCTCTGGACAGGCCTACTGTCTGATGCACCATCCTAAATCTCTGGGGATCTGGATTAACAGAATGGAAGACAAACAAGAGAATGGTATAAAGGCACTCAGGGCACTTTAAGGTGTAACTGATAAATCTCTTATCGGTTGGCACTGTGTCAACTGATTATGGTAGTATGATAATATTCCTCACATTAATGTTGTGCCTCAGTGCCACGACTGATTTTTAATGTGTGTTTCAGTATCCATGCCCATGTTCTTTGCTGGTTTCAACAGTCACAGCTCCCCTGGTCACACTGCACTTCTGCTTGCCATTAGTAAAGAGGTGACTAAATCAGTTATAAGGATGCACTTTCACTACAGCCACTGAGGAGAGAGGATACTCTCTTACTTCAAGCCAGTTCACTTTGAGCTGGTCTGAATTTCTCTGAAGATGCCTGTTTTTTTATTTTGCTGCCCATCAAAGAGCCCAAGGTGGCTATTCCCTAGGCCAGGCATAGGGAAGATGCCTGAACCAATGCAATATGTCTGAAAAGTAACAGCTCGGGCAAATACTTCTTGACAGGACAGTTCTTGAAATTACTTTCCTCTGGAAACTACTGGCTTGTTTCACTAAATTTGGGGCCAGGAAATGTATGGAATTTATTATTTTGTATGAAACTAATGTTTCACTTCAACTATTACAACACTACATCATGTATTATCTAAGATATCATCTCACATAACCTTTAAGTTTAGGTTAAATTATATAAATATCCAAACAAGAAATACAAACTAAAAATTTTGATACGATCATTTCAGTATTTCTGAAACAAAATATTTTAGAATATCCATTCAGAGATATGTTTCAAAATGACGGCTCTCCCTTCCAATCAGAAATGAAAAGACATTTGTAACGTCTGGGTCGCTTTCTGAACATGAACAGCTTGAGCTGCAATGGTTGCAGGAGCTGCACAGTTGGGATTGCTATTCACAGTGCTTTAACGATTGATTCTATATTTTGTTTTGGGTCCAGTAGCACCTAAGGGCTGTCAGGGCTAAGGGATCTCTTTGGCAAGGAGCCTCTCGTTCCTTTCATTACATTCCTCATTCATACATTAAATGACACTGGCTTTCAGTCGTGCAGAAAATAAGCATCAAACCTGATATGGGACAACCTGACATTATGAAGAGTTTTGGCAGTGGTATGGCAGAAATGAGCTTTAGCATGCCTTAGCTAAGAGACTGCTTTAGCAGTTTGCCTGGGAGTAATATCTGATTGAATGACTAATTTGTTAATTCATTAATTACCTGTCAGTGGTGAACTGCAGTTTGAGCTTGCAGGATCCTGAGTGTTCCGTGACACTCGCTTCAACTAGGGTACTGACATTGGATTAAATTCCTCTTAACGTTGAGATCAGGAGCAAGTACTTAAATGAACACCAAACAAATGGGATTCAAACTCCCACTGCAAACTGAAGAGCTGAAGATTTAAACGCATGTTTCAAACAGCCTGGAAGTTGAGGCAGAGCAACTGAGTTCTCATCCAGTGTTTGAACACCAAAGAGCATCTGATGCATGGATGGTTTCTAAGCAAGATCTTCTCTTTGAAATTTGTGATTCATTATTATTATTATTACATTCTACAGCAAAGTCCAGAGAGGCCAGAACTTTTAAACCAAGAATGGCCCTTACCCAAATTCATGCACTTTTTTAGGAGTGTAACACCGCCTACAGCAGTTAACTGTGAATTTTTGAATTAAAATATACTTGGAAAAGGAGGAAAACAAAATATTATTCTGTCATAAGCAATCCCATGCATCTGTGCCCCTGGGGAGCTTGTGTTTCTTTACTCTTGAGGTTCATTATGTCACCAGAAAAGCTTTAATATTTTACTGTGGAAGCAATATAGCCATGAAACATTAATTTTCAGGAATGTGGTAACCATGAAATATGCTTTTTTTTCTACTAAGTTAAGACTTTACTTGGCTCCGTTCTCCATTAACTATTAACATAGTTAAAATAACTAATTTTCACTACATGTTTATGCAGATATAGTCTAGAAATTAAAATAAGAGAGATGTACAAAATACAGAAAAAACTTTTTTACTTTGAAAAATCTATTTCACTGATAATGATACCAGATATTGATATTCTATCTTTTGTTCTAATCACTTTTCATGCTGTATCCACCTTGGGACAGCACCCCTCTGGTGTGTAAATGAACAGCTGATGTATTCTGCACGATAAGAGCTGTAAGCAACAACTTAGAGTTGTATACAATTATTTACCTCCCTATTTCCACAATGCTGTTGTCTTGTCATTGAAGTGACCAACATTGTTCACATAAGCCTGGCACAGACATGAGGATTTCCAGTAGTTCCCAGGTATTCTGCACCATGGCAGAAGTTTCTGGCTGGAAGAGAAAATGATGTAGAACCAATTAATTTGTAACGCATGTCTAGATCTTTTAAATATTTGCCTGTTACTGCTAATGAGTATAGCTAACTGTAGGACTGATGCTTCTTTCCTGCAAAACTAATGACTGGTTTTCCTTCAAATTTCTGCACATATTCATATTCACCCAATCACGGCACCAGCTTTTAACTGGTGCTAAAAGGGAATGAAAGAATTGTAGTGGTTTAATGGGAATTAAAAGCCCTTATTCCAAGGGACAATTCCAGAACAAAAAATTTCACCTAGTGTTTTTAGCATCGGGTGATACATTTGCAATCATTACCAGTTGATTCAAATGGAAGAATTAGCCAAGACATTCCAGAAGAATCTGCATCATGGGAGCCATAGGTTCCTATGTTACATGACATGCCAGACTATTCAACAAATCACCAGAGTTATTTTTCCTTAATGCTACAATCAGTGATGGCACATTAAAAAAAAAAAACAACAATAATTACTGAATAAGATTTGACAGCATGAAGCTCTATGCCATGAATTGGAAATTCTCAACATATGCATTCATATTGCTAGAGAAGATGAGCTACACAATCAAAACAAATCTGGAAATCTGTTATCAAAGGATGGCCAAGAGTACTAAAATCCAACTGAGAAGTTCCCTGTTGTCCCTTGTTGTCTTTGGGCTCCTATGTGAGTCAATCTTACACAGGTGACAATATTTGACAAAGATAATTGTGCATACAGCCACGTGGAGGATATTGCATAGAACCTTTTCCATCTGAACGTGGACATTCGTCATAACACAACTTTTAAAAAAGCCAGTCAGTTGTTCCAGAATTGCAGGTGAATAAAATAAGACAAAAATTCTGAAAGAGTCAGAACAGTCCATTCTTACATTTTGAACAAGCCACGCTTCGTTTACATTTTTTGCTGCATTATAATAACAAAAATTTAAAATGTAAATTATTTTAGAACCGTAATTCAAGGGAAATGTTTGATTTTGTCCATAGTTCTCATTAGGACCATTACTGACTATTCTCTGTAAACAAAAACAAAACTGTCTCCTCTTGCACTCATTCAGAATGAAGCAGAACATCAAATTCTGAAAATCTTTGCAAAAAGAACCCTGTCCTCCCACAGCGCTTTCTGTGCCCGTATGAAAGGGACAAGAAGGTCAGTGTGTAATTTCTGTGAGCTCTAAGGAGATTGTATGTGTTAGCATTGTCAAATCCAGGCTTACACAGCTGCTGTTTGGATATAAATCATAGATGCTTTTGGGTTACTAACACCCTCTGCAATTTAGTACAGTTGTTAATTAATACAATACTGTATTAGTTCTTTTTGCATTCTAACTATTAACACCCCATGAAATCCCATTAGCTCTGCATATGGTGCCAGATTTGTTCTGAATGTGGGAAAGAAAGAAATTTACAGTGGTATGAATAATAAAGAGATGCTTTCAAGTGGTTTCCACTGTGAACGTTTTGAAAAAACATTTTCCAGAAAGTGGATTGTGGGGCAATCTTTGCACAAATTTTCAAAGCAAACATGCTTATATGTCATATAATCTTTTCCCTGAAGTGTAAATATCCTTATGCACCACTACTGTTACAGAGCAGAAACATAAGCAAGGTAGGTTAGGTTTTCCAGAAGTTATTTGAATATTCTGCTTCAGTGATCTGACAGATTCTTCTTAACTTCCAGGACAACATAGTTGCCAGTGAAAAACAAGCTTATTTGTTTCACCCCTCATGCAAAGCACACTAAAACATATAAGCCACTAGAAAATAATTAGTCTGAAGTTTCCGTATTTAGTTTAGTTCTGTTGTAGTATTGGCTCTTGAATAAAAGAGAAATCCTACAAGGAGCTGTCAGAAAGTCTTTTAAAAATGGTGAAGCAGGCAGGATTTAGAAGCAGACTATTGCCTGGAGAAGCTGGCTCAATTGTAATTCTCTCTTGATCCTTTAGAAGTTGCTGCCTTGGAATTACAGTGGTAGCAGTAGGTAGCTAGTAGTATTCTACAGGTGCTTTTCTTCCCCTTTGTCCTCCATCCGTAGTCCAGTCTTTGCTGCCACATTATGCAATCAGGAATGGGCAGGGCGTTTCTGCATGGCCAACATCCAGACAGGGACGCACTGCTCAGGGAATCCCTGCTGCCTCTCCTCTTGCAGGATGACGAGTCCACTCATTTCAATGAGGCTGTGGAGGATGTTCAGGTCTCGGATCACACTACTGTCCAGACAATCCAGGATACAGCCCTCCCTGGCTACATTGTCCTTGAGAATGATTACACCATTATCCTTCAAGCCTTTCTGGCACCGGATGAGAAACTTCAGGAGATCTTTATCTGTCAGATATCCTACAGGTGAAAAGATGGAAAATAGATCACTATTAACCATTCATACAGCCTCCCTCTGAACATATCATAACGGTGCCTTGATTCGATTCTCCATATCCCTTTTTATTGCTGGAATAGTTAGTTCTAGATCTGCCAGATTTCAGAATGAAAACCTGGGCAAATCAATGAGATCATCAGTTACAAACTCAAATCGATATTTATGATCCACGTTCACAGCAGCAACAGATGTGGACAGAAGTCAATGGGAATAGCGGAGAAAATAGCGGGTGCTGAAGGGTTCTTTAATCTGGTGGTTAAAGTCATAATAAGAATCACTGGCAGGAAGCTGGAACCAAACAAATTCAAACCGGAAATAAGAGACAAATGTTTTAACAGTGCAAGTAACTACCGATCAGAAGCAACCAACAGAAGTGGTGGATTTACCACCTCTTGAAGCCCTCAAATCTAGTGCGACGGACTTTCTCAAGATAATGTTCTTATTGAACGCAAACCATCCAGTGCAAGGGTAAAACAATGGAATGTAACAGCAAGTGATACAGAATAGGTCAAATTAGAGAATCTAACAATTACTAATGGCTGTTTATGCTACAGATTTCTATATACATCCAAAGCAGCTGTGGATTACAACCAAATCACCAAATAAACTCCGTATTACTACATACTGTTCTGATCTCTGCATACACCATACATATTTAAATACAGTAACTTTTAATATGTTACTGAGATTGTGTTTTCTATTCTTCCTTCTCAAAGATCAATAATTCTGTTAACATCAGGAGAGTGGGGCTCAGAGAAGAGCAAAATGAGAACACACATATGAAACCTATTTAAAATGAATTAACAAGGACAGGTGGTCAAAAACTGAATGAAAAACTCAAAAAAGTTGCTTGTAATTTTTAGTCAAAATATTTAGTTTTCTTCATGGTAGATCTAAACTTTTATAAATGCAAGCTGTCATTTCAAAACCACATTTTGATATAGCTTGTCAGATTTTTTTAACTACTTCCCTCTTACCAAAGAAAAAAAGAGTCAGAACAAAAACTGAATACCTTCCAACTGTGGGAAAATCACCATTTCAGTTTGAAAATTAAACTTTCATTTTTATTTCTTCAAAAAAAAAAACCAAAAAACCTGAGCTGATTTAATTATGTACATGCACGACAAATCAAGATTTCATGGACTAGATTCTTTGAAGCATTTGGCTGCTCTTAACTTAGTTCTTAGCCCAGTTTTCCCATCCAAAAATACATGATCTTGCTTGCATTGCTACCTGCCAGTTAGTCCTGCCCCATTCCACCAAGAAGCATTGAGCTTGCTGGCATTTTTCATCCAAAGTCAAGGTAGTGGTAGAAACTTGATTAGTACTTAAAGTCACTATCTACATCATAGCAATCGATGGCTGAAAGGTGGAAGGAGATTCAGATCCGCTAGACAAAAGGCATATGCTGCTTTTGCCACTGACAGCACAAAAGTAACAAGCACAGCTCCAGACAAGTCTTCATTCATTTTGTCTCACGTTGCCATGGCTTCGTTCATGAGATATGAGCAATGACTGACTATTCAAATAGAACAGAAGGGAAAATGATACTCTTCTGAAGCAACTTGCTTATATAGCTATAAAGGAACAACCTACAATTCTAAGACCAATCCCATTACTTTTTAAGACTATGTATAACGGACAAGTGATTGCTCTTAAGATCTCCTGTACTAATCTTCCTGCCTTTGTCCAAAAAGAAGGCATTTCCAGGGTTTTGACATGGAGTTGTTCAGGCCTCCTCTTGTGCTTTAGAATAATGAGTCCTGCCCACTGAAACTGCACAGGGGACACTCTGCAGCAGTAAAGGCTTTAAACAGCATGAAAAATATCTACTAAAAATGGTATTTCTGACTGATTGAGACAGGAGAATGAAAAGTTGACTTTTCAGGTCACATTCAATTCACTTCTCCTGTAGCTGTATGAATATTCTGTTCACTTACAGCCCTACAACACTTTTCATGAAAGGATCACTGCACACTTTACAAAAGTAATTAATTTTCATACCTTTCATTGCTTTAAGTAGGAGGGGAAAAAATGAGTGAGTGCAGGAGAGGATGCAGATATTTGTTATTTGGGGAGGAGTTGCTTTGGGATGTAGCTAAGTGAACCTCTTTAATGAGCATTAGTGCATGCAACAGACAGTCATCTGCTGATAGGTTTTGGTGATTTCACCATGCTTTTTCACAGCTTATTTCCTGAAATATTCCCAGGTCTCAATAGTCATCAAGTTCAGAAATGCCCCTGAGAACATCGGTATTGAGGGACACCCACTGGCAGAGGCTAAGAAAGGACTGAAGGGGATATCCCTGAAGGGGCACTTAGCCTAATAGGTTCTATGTGTGAGGGGCATATGACATGCCAGGGATTCCCACAAGATCTTTGCAGGAAATGTCCAACAGGATGCCAAGCTATAATGCAGAAGTGGTGAATCGTGGGTGGAAAATGACTTCTGGCAAAGAACCAAAGGAAACCATCCTTTAATGCAGGTACAGTCAATCTTGTAAGCAAAAAAATACAAAAACCCTACCACTCATTCTGCACCCAAATGCTGGAGCTGCCCTATCTGCAAAGGGGAAAAAATGTCTCAAAAGGGCTCTTCTTCCTTGTGAGACTGCTTGGCTCTCTGAAGTACCTGATGACTCATGAAAAATATGGGCAAAGGTGTGTCCAAAATTGGCTAATATTCAATAGGTCAAGAATGAGGGTCATACAATTCTCACATTTTTTTTTCTGGTAGGCAAGCTTGATCCTCACATAGCAGTACTGTCACAGTGTTACAGCCTTGCTCCCATCACATGCCAGATGCAGTGGTGTTGATAGACCACTGCATACAAATGAGGTCAGCCTGTCTGCAATATTGGTAGCTATAAGGGAGGGAAGATTCCTGCTCAATGTATAAGACCCATATATATATTTATGACCTACTCCCTTATTGCACTATAGTATGCAAGCTTCTCCTGGTACATGCACCTTCCTCCAGTACGTGGCCTGAAAAAAAAAAAAAGCATCTTGATCTGTACCCACTGTGCACACGGCTGGGGAGAACTCCCAGAAGTCCACTGCAAGATTATTTTTTTCCCTGGGTTGACAGGGAAACATGACAAGTTTATGAAGCTACGGACTGTGGGGACTGCCTGACTCCACAGAAAAGCTTTAGTACTGCAGGAGTTTCTTCTTTGTTTTCTACTTGCTTGTCCTGGCTGCTATGGGACCAGGCACTGGAAGTGAATGAAGGCAGCACCTTGTGCTTCCAGCACTTGTCAGTCCTGGCCTGGCATCATCAAAGATTTCAGAATCTCTTTTTACAGCTGCACCATTCTTTTAACAGTAATTTCAGTACATGCTGTGTAGCTCTGAGATGCTGGGCTGGATGAATCGTGCTGAACTAACCTGAAACCCACTGAATCCAGATGACATCATATCTTTGTGGGGCTGGAGTGAATTCCTGGAGGCTTTTGCAATAATACATTTCTACTCTGTCCTCCTCGTCCTGCAGGTAGTTCGGGACCTCAGCCAGGAAATTTTCCATCATATCCACCAGTTCCACACTCTTGAAAACTGGTAACAGGACATGCTTGCTGATCCGACCTATCCCAGAGCCACAGTCGAGGGCGCGGTTGGTGCCAGCTTTCCCCACCCCCTGTGAAACACAAGAAAATCATTTGAAATCTGAAAAAATGCTACCTGAAAGATCACAGCAACCGTGGTACCAGCTATGGCCTTTTGTCCACCAAGCCTAGTATCTTGTCTCTTTACTTGTTCAGGGCAGCTGCAAGATTGGTGAGAACTCTGAACGCTATCAGTACACCTTCGGATAGCTATTAAGCTGCTAGGCTGCATTCCCAGATAATGCCTGGATGCATTTTTCCTCCATAATTACTTTCCACAGCTTGGAGCAGAATCCAGTGACCTGCAGAACCTCACACTGAGTGTCCAAGCCAGTAAGTAAGAGCAGTGAAGACAAACCTCCCCTTGTGCTCCAGCTGGCATACACTATCCCACCCCTGAGCTGACATTGTCTGCACAAAGCTCTCCTCCTCAACAGCCAGCAGCCACTGCTCATTTGGAGCTGCAAAACAAAGGCTGCAGTCGATGGGATTTCTTCATTGTAGCCCTGCGTTTGTAGCTGTTTTTGCTTGCTATAAGAAGAGAACATTTCACAAATTCCTAACTCTCTCAGAAGAACCACTGGTCTTCACAAAGTCCTTCCAACTCCATCAGTCATGTATTTATATCTTACAGTCAACTGCGTGACTAGGTCAGTCTTGTTAAATTCTGAACCCAGTAAAGACTCAACGAAAGAATAAGCATATACCAAACACTGCACACAAAAAAATAGATATTCTGTGCTCCAAAAGTTATAAGGTATCCGTGGACATCTCTGCAGAGACAGAGTGTCCTTGTGATCTGAGCACAATTTTCAAAACAAGTTGTGTTTGAACAAAGATCTTGGAGACTTAGCTAACTTACAACAACACAAAAGTTTGGACTGGAGCATATTCAGAATTTCTTCTCTAAACACAGAGACAAGCAAGATGACTGAGTAGATTTTGCTTAACTGCTATTTTTTTATTCCTGAATATCATCTCTGGATAGGGATCAGACAAGAAAAAATTGTGGCACAAAGGATACATCTGTGAGAAAATAATGAGTTACTGTAAAAGGATCTTCATAATGAAAGCTGTATTTCACTCCTAAAGCTTCCATTCTAGCTATAAAGAGTCTCTTAAGAGTGTGCTGCTGTTGTGTAAAACAGAAATTTTAAGTCTGTACAGGCACTGGCCATGGAATTGGAGCTCCCCTGGCCAAAGTTATCTGTTAAACAAATATATTAAAAGCAAATGTAAACAGCTTTTCCCTGTCCCTGGAAGTGAGAGCTGAAGCAAAACCTATGGGCCAAAGTCCCTGCTACAACTTCACTGCTCTTAAGTGAAATAAGTCCTGGAAGAGTCTAGCTCTTTCTGCTTACTGGGAGACCCCTCCCCCCCCCCCGCCATGTAATGACTAAGCATAAATCATGTAACTCACTGCTTTTTTGGCCTTACTTCAGTGGGTAATTCAGTAGATTATTAAGGTCAAAGGACAGTATTGTCAGTGACACGACTATGAATAGCTCAGCTGAACATCTACAGTTACATGGAGTAACTGTAGAAAGAGCACAAGGACCTGAAAGGCTCTCACCAGCCTCTGGAGCTGCTGGTCCCAATCTGTATACCTAAGAAGATTAATCTCCTGATGTGTGCAAGAGTCCACAAGCCTTCAATCCTATTGGACTCTGGAGACAACCTGTTTGTAGTTAGCCAGAAAATGTGAGCTATTCTTCATTCACGGGCTGCACTTAGGAGCACACGGCTTTTACTGAGGACCAGACTAAGCTGTAGCAGAGAGTTCACGAGAAGAGAAGGAGCTGTGTCTTCACAAGGTCAATTCCCATACTGTTTGATGATCAACATAAGTTGATGCAATTAAGTACAACGCTTCAAGAATGCTGGTGAGAAAGCAGGAATTGTTTACTAAAAAAGCTAGGAAAAAGTAGCCTAAAAGCCATACAACTCTGACTTTGGTACCTGTGTTTCAGAGAATCTATAATCACAGCACCTTACCAAACATTGGGAATTCATTTCCTAGGAGAGCATCACAGCAAGGACCTGTGATGACACATCTCCATTTACCATCAAGAAGGAAAGGAAAAGCAACCATGAGAGCTGAGGCTCAATCCCATACTTTACTGACAGGGAGCAAGAGTACCAGGCAGTCAGACGAGAAGCCCTGCAAAGCACCACAGCACTGTTTGCAATGAAAATGTTGACATAATTCCATGTTCAGCTAATATATTTTCAGTTTGGGAGTGCTCGGAGCTTTGACAGGGTATTAACATTTTCTTTGGAAGGCAATCATTTTCCCAAAAGCCTAATTGAGTTGAAAACTGGACTTCTTATTTAAAGAAATAGCGTAAGTGAAAATTTTAAGCCAGAGCAGGCTTCAAAATTTAAGATTGACTGCTTCTCTGCTTACATGCTTCCTGTTACTCTGAATCACTGTCATTGAGGACATGCACACACCCAAACGTTCTGCTGTAGAACTGAATAGGGCACTCACAAAAGTTCATTAGGTATAAAAGATCTGTGGGATATGTTTTGATGGTGCTACTTCAGGTCTTGGAAGGGCAGGAAGGCAGTATAGATACGAAGGGAAAACAAAGAAACCACAGTTCAGTAAATAGTTAAACAGTTTTCTTTCTGAATTATTTATATAAATATCAGGCTTTGAACAAAATCTTTTCCATCTCCCTGATCAAACAGAAGAAAAATCACTTTTCATTCAGCAGGTCCTCAATTAGACAGCTGAACCAAGGCAAGACAGGGCAGAAAGGAAGACAGTTTTTTGGGGGTAGAAAGGGAGCTGTAAGGACAATATAATCCCCATCTGTACTATTTCACACACCTGTAGATCATGAATGTTCCTGAACTAAAGGTTTTTTTTTTTTTTAAAAAAGATTTCCTCTGGATTAGGCACTTGAAAACACAGTGTCTGTATGGACATCAAAGCTTGAATTGGCATGAATACATTGCCATAAATACGCAATGCTATAGCTCTGCTGATAACCCTTCAGGTACGACTGCACCAAAGACAACCTATAGCTTGTCTATATAGAGCTGTTGGCTCACGTTCTAACTCAAATGTTGCTCTTGGTTTGAGTTCTGCCCACACACACATAAAACCTCTTAACTTGAGCACAGTGGCACTTTTAACTCAGTTTGACTCGCCTGGGCAGGAGACAGGCTAAAATATAAGTGAAGTCCTCAGTTTTCTACTTTTCTTTTTTTGTAATTCCTTCCATGCACCCAGGCAAGATAAATTCTACCATGGTAAGGAAATCTGTAGCTCAGTTTACAGTGGTGCTAAAAAACATGTTAAGAAATGCCATACACGAAGGTATGCAACATCAGTCATGGAAGGGAAATGTCACTGTGTGGCATTTCCACACCAGCCAAACTAACTGAAGAGTAATTTGAGTGGAACTGGGCAACTGTTTTTTAAGGAGCACCAGTTCTGCCAGAAAAAAAAAGTTTTGGAAAAAGAAAAATTGTGATATCGATACCTCAAATCTAGAGAACAGTTTTAGCCAGGAAACATGGGAAAGAATGTTGAAAATGTTGAAATATTTCTTTTTGACTGCATTCAAGGAAAAAAAAAAAAAAATGTCTTGTCAGCTTTTCATTTCTAAACAGCATTTTTCATTTTGGAACCGACATATAATAAGAACAACAGGAAAAAAAATCAGAGGGCAAAACAATCAAAAACCTAAATTAAATATGCACAGTTGATCTGAGACTAATTTCCTTTTCTGATTTTGTTAAACTTTTTAAAAAAGCATAGCTTATGTTTGGGTCAACAGATTGTTTTCTTCTACTTTGATTGGCTTATTGGTAAAAAAAATATTCAGAGACAAACTGGGTATAACAAAAGGAAGACATGGCTCAGATTAGCTATACAGTAAGGTCACTTCTACAGAAAGCCTGTAAATATCTCTATCTGATCAAGTAGGATTGCAATAGTAAGGAAGGAAAATAAACCATAAGTAAAACAACTAATTGATTGTATCTTGAGAGATTACAGGCTGTAATAAACTAAATCAGAATTAGCAAAACATGCAGATTCCTTTCTTTTATTTTTTTTCCTTATTTGATCTTGGCCATTCAGAATATCCTTTCTACCCCTGGCTAATAATAGGAGTAGAAGCTCTGCTCTGGAGTCTTTTGTATCTGTCATCACACCTGATGCATTGGGTATGATTTCTCTTTGGCACATGAAACTCTGCTACAGACTGTACTTCTTTCCTTTTCAGGTCTTGGAGATGAGAAAGCTTAACAGTGTGATATAAACTCGCTGTTCAGGAAACTGAATCTGTATGATGTCTAGGAAGCATGAAATCTTTCCCTGAAGACAGGCTTGTCCACCATGTGAATTCCAAATATCCTTAAGAAAAGACACGTAAAATTTAAGGGACATGCCTGGAGCTGGCTTGAAGTTTACAAGTTATGTTCCATTTTTACTGAAAGCACCACTTTACTATCGTTCATCTTCTGAGTTTCCTTTTCTTATTTTGTAAGAAACCAAATACAATGAGGCCTTGAGACACTGTGAAGCTGCTTTACAAAACTCTTACAGACACAGTGAGGCCTTAAAATGCTGTGAAGACATCAATACAAAAGACTGTGAATAGAAATGAAGTAGCTGATCACTTAGGTAACTGTGTTTTGTTGGCATACTGTCCCAAGAGTGCCATACACAGTGAACTTTGCCATCAGTTGCTCTTCACTGCTAGACAGGATTTCTATCTGTTGTTAAACCACACTTATTTTTCATCCAAATCCATTTTAACTGTGCCCTTTTTTTATACACAACATCTCATTAACTTACTGAGCTTTTTTTTTCCCACAATAGGTCATTAAGGCTAAAAAAAAGTCATCTAGTTAAGCAAAATTTGTACATTTGAGTAGAAAATGAAAGTTTTATGGTAGTATCGCGTAGAACTTGTAATTTTGTGAGTAGGAAAATTTATGAAATTCAGTTCCCTGTAACTTTGTGGGTTCTTTAGCATCTAATATAGTTGTTGAGCTAATTCAGCAGGCTTCTTATCCTCAGGAAGGGAAAGAGACAGTTGGAAAACCTTTGGGCCAAACTTTAAAAAAAAAAAATAGATTCCTAACAAGACACTCCAAAAACCCAAATGCCAAAGAGAAACTGCTATTTTAATTGCTGTTAAAATCCCACTTTGCATCTCAAAGCAAATCTTTGAAGATTCTTACAGACCTTTAAAGATCTGCCTTCAAAAGTCAACAATAATACTGCAGCAATCAGGAAATCATATTTTTACTAACAGATAGCTTATTCTACATATTGCTAACAGAGGGGAAGGAGGATTGTATTTTCTTGCAGCATTCTCAGAAAAAAGATACCTATAAATAGACAAAACAGAACCTTGGCATCTTGTCTCAGTCACTTTCCCAAATAGAATGCAGGAATTTGCACAGAAATATCTCCCATTGAAGCTAGCAAGGATTTTATAATGAGAAGTCTCAGCACTACACTGAGAATTAATCTCCCACCCAAGCAAAGTTTGTGCTATCCTTGCACAGTCCTCTTTGCAGCTTCAGAGTATAAGAAAAGGATGCAAAACAGGTGAACAACAAGATACAGCCAAGCAAAATGCGTACTCATGGTGATGCATGACCTGGCAGAATGCATGTAAATAGTACGTTCCTGGGCCCCATCACAGTCAATTACAACATGAGCTTCATGCATACAAAATATGATACATGGTGCCATTTAAAATAAATGTGTCTGGGCACACTGCATGTCATTTATGACACATCACTACTGTCTCTTGCAGAAGATGGGATTTAAATGACTCACCCCAACAAACTTCCTGAGAAACTCCCTGGAGGATTCAATGTCTATATTGGAGAGCTCAATGTAGTCCCCCATCATGCCCTCTTCTGTGGCTGGTACCTCCTGGTAGAAGTGTTTGGCCCTGGCGTAGAACTGCATCTCCCCATTGATAACTTGGCTTGTTAAAGCGTAAAGTTTCACTGCAAGCAGATAAATCATTATTTTATTGTTAATGACACATTTCTGGGTTAGTTACTTGTTCTGGAGGCACGGTGATGAAAATCTATGAATCTAAGCTGAGCCTCCAAATGAACAAACCTCTGTTTCCAAACCTGAGGTGGAAGGAAAGGTGTTGGATTTAATCCTGCAAGGCTCTGAAGGGACACAGCACCCCTTGAGTATATCCTGCGCCTGCCACACTCAGAACTCATTTGTCATTACACAGTATGCTTTCACATCAGTGAAAAATCATTCCAGGTTTGAAGATGAACATTAATACCAAAGAGAGCAGTGGGATTAGTTTACCCCCAGAAAAGCTGTGGGCAGTGTTTATTGCTGTTCGCAGTCACCACTTCCGCTGTGGTGAACCTAACAGCTCCTCACAGCCTGCAGACTGCCATATATACTTTCTAGCCATCAACAGCTGCACAGAGAGTGCACCAACAAGAGTCTGAATGAATGAGGCACTTGCTTTGGTTTATTTTTAGTGACACTGGGAAGTCTGGGGCACTGTAAGCCGAACCAAGGAGCAGATGGCAGTCTCAGGCCTAAATGAATATACAGCAGGGAGACCATTTAGAAACGGAGTCCTAAATTTTCTTCTGTCACAGGTCAAGATAATCAGTGGGTGTTACATTGGAAAGCTCCTGTGTGCCAAGGGGTTGGGTCTTTCCTTTCATTGCTCTGCTATTTGCTGGTAATACATAGCAATCATAAGTCTGAGGCCATTCAATTCAATCGGACCCTGTTTTGTATGGTTTAAGACAATTTTTCCCCATTCTTTGAAGAACTGAAATCTATGCTCTGCATCTAAGTTTTTTCATACTTGAAATGCATTGGCATATCAAAAGTAGTTATGTGTTATATCTCAAAAGTTCAAATTAGGGCAGACTAGAAACTGTTTGGAAACAAGCTATCCTGCTGTCTCATGCACATACAAGCATACAAAGTGCTTCCCCACATCTACAGTCATTCCCAGACAGGCCTTCCAACAAAAATGCAACTACAAGCCTGCGTGTGAAAGCTAAGCAGTAAGGAGGGATGGAGTCACACTGGGAATGAGTCTGCAAGCACAACTTTGCATTGTGAGACCATCTCCACTGCAGATGTGCAGCATGGCTCAAGGAATTGGAAATGAGCAAGCAGCAAATGGCTTTCTGGTTAACAGAGGAAAGGGAGATGTCCCTGCAGGCTGTGCAGACAGAGGGCAGCACCCAGTTGCTGTTCAGTATCTACCTTATGTGGGCTGCATCTTTCAGCCTCCAAACTTCCCCAGGAGCACTGCTGGCAAGGGTCAAACAATGCCATGCCTTGCTCACCCTGCCTGCAGAAAAGGAGTTACGCCCTCCATGCGCAGGATGAGAGTTAGGCCAGAGACCTGAACATAAGCCTGGAATGTATTTATGGAAGGCAAGCAAGCTCAGCAGGGAATGATAAGTATACGCCTGCCCATCCTCAGCAGGAGAATGACATTTCAGCAGCAAATGAGGGGGGACAAAGGAAGTAGGATGGGGAATAATTACCACCAAGGACCACTCGGAACAGAATAGTGCTATTGGGTTACACACCAGCAGCATGCCCGGCATATCCTTCATCCAACAAAAGCAGCATTACCAGCCCCTCTTGTCATCACCTGCTTAAGTCAACTGCTGAACGGATACTATTAAAGCTTTAATCCATTACACATTTATGTTATGCCTGAGAAATTTATACCACAAGAAGCACTGAGCCCAGCAAGGGTCAAAACCTGGGAGTTTTACACACTCCACTGATTATATTCACATACTCAGAAGAAACCATTTAGTTGAAGAAATTAATATGAAGGAGGCAGCAGCCAATCCACTGTGCAACTTGGCCAGGGAGGCTCCCAGAGCCCGAGAAATAAAGACTCCATTGGCAGTGGAGATTCTTCCAGTAAATTATCTCCATCCTCCCCTGGGAGTGGCACTAGCTTATTTTCTCCTGGTTTCTTTTCTCCGTTTCAGATGCCAGTCTGGTGAACAGAACTGAACCTCTGGATGCTTGCTTTACAAGCTCGTCTTTATGAAAGCCCAGCAACCATTTCTAGGGTTTTTTTAATGGAACTACCAGGGGACAGAGATTTATTCTGTTCTACCTGATTGAAAAGAAAGGCTCTTACAGGATGTCTTTGCACTAGGACATGGTGTTGCAGGCACCATGCAGCATAAAACAGCACAAACAACAAATGTTCAGGGTCCATCTACTGAATGCATGAGCTGAACCCAAGGCAACACATGGAGACGATATGCTGTTGTTCAGGATATCAGATCTGTGGCATGTGCTCTCAGATTTCTCACTCAGAACCTGGATCAGACTCACAGGATGCCTGCAGGGATTTGCATGCACACACCAGCTGACTTCGGCTCCTCCCTGGCCAGCTGGGGCCCCACAGCCCCGCCTAACATGCTGGCATTTGAAACCAGCTCTACTCTGAACACTTGAGCATTTTCTGTACCCCAAACCATGCAAAGATCTTTTTGTGCAAGTGCCTCACCTGAGGGCATGCAAGGACACAGGTCCTGTACCCAAAGCCTGTCGCAGTGACAGTCTCAGGCACGCAGTACATGATTTCCACCTCTTGCTTCCTCAAGTATTTCTCCTCCCTCTCCTGAATTTGCAACACTGCCAACTCTCCCAACCCACAACCCAATTTTCCAGACACAACCAATCAAGCTCACCTCTGATCTGCCTTGCAGCTGTGCCTGGCATGCAGGCTCCAGCAGCAGGACCAGAGGGAGCAGGAGGTTTGCCAGCTTGCAGGAATCTACCGCAAAAGAGAAGTGTGAGGAATCACACGTCCTTGGTGGCAGTTAGTGTTGCAGCTCTTCTCTGGCGTGCCTGCCCCTCATCACAGGACCTGTCTAGCCAGAGGCATCTTCCCAATCCACGATCCATGTGGGACTATCTCCTGCATCAGGAAATTAAAAGCTTGTGAGGTCTGTTACTGATACACAGCCTGATTTCAATGTATTTTGCGAAGTAGGGCATAGATAGGACAGGATAACGGAGCTGTAAGTCTCGCAGAGACTGGGGGGCAGCTTTCACAGACAAGATTTTCAGTGTTAAGTTAGGCGATCTGTAATATTTCAGGTTAGAAATGTGTTTCAAGGAAAGCAAGCAGAAACCTTCTGTCATGGTGAACCTGCTTGGCGAGACCCCCAAGCAGCAAAGGCTAAAGTGAGCCCACTGGCAAAGCAGACTGAGCAGACACTGCCTCCCTAAAGGTCACCTCCAGTCAGGAGGTGTTAGCAATATTCAGTTGCAGCAAACAGTCTGAATGCCAAAAAAGAGCCAAATGCCATCCCCTAGACTAGACACAGAACATTCATCTAGGCCTGTCTTCCCCCCAGAGTCCAAGATTATTTTTTTTGTTAAAGGATCAGCTCAAAATTTTGTTTTGCTGTATCTGATCTAAATCCCTAAGTCAATGGGATCACTTAATACATTGGATCAGTCACAGCCCCAACCTGCAGCAGACTATTTTACAGTTGCACAGCTTGCTGAGCTAAATCTACCCAGCAGAAATAAATGTTGCAAATAATTTTTTTGAAGTTTTTATTTGTGAACATTGTTTTGTGGCTCCAACTGCTTTCTGCGAGATATTGAACTAATTCCATTTTGGCTAAGCATCCCTTTTAAATGCAACATCTGCTTTGCGCTCCAGTTGAAAAATGGTTATCTGGGTGCAGAGAAGATTCACCTCTCTGCTATGGCCTGAGAACTGCTTTATAGAGGCTGAACATCAGCACACCCCTAAAGCAGGCTTCACTTACAGACATGTGCCTCACATATTGAAATATTTGGCTCTTTGGACTAATTATTTGAGGCTTCCACCGCAGATCTCACCCTCCTGGCATCAAGTCCCTCAGCCCCTGGAACCACATGCATAATTTCCAGTATCTGAGTAGCTCTGTTAAAGTCCACTGGGCTTAGAGGCATTCATACACATTCGAGTACACTGTTGAATCCGGGCCTAAATCAAATGCCTTTTATTTATGTCACCCCAGCCTGTAAAAATTACATGATTCTGTTAGGCCATGATACCAAATACGCTCAGCTCATAGGGAAACCTTCCTAAGTGCTCCCACCACTAAACCTAGGAAAGGAGGGTGAGAGGATTGTGAAGTTAGCATAGCTTGAAGAAAATCCTGTCCCTTGCTGATCCTGGACTGCAGCAAAAGTTTCAATGTGAGGCCCAATTTCCGTGTTAATCACACTTTGGGTTAAGTATCCTGTAAAGTGCTCTGCTAGGTCACAGCCTTAGTGTTGTTTTAGTGGCTTAACACTGTTAATTCTGTATAAGAGGTCTCTGCATCTCATCTTGAAGTACAGTTAATTTCTGCTCAGTTCCACTCTGAACTTGAAAATGCCATTCTGCAGATAGGTTTGGACTTGCCACATTTGCTCAGCTCCACATCACAGAGTACAGGAACACAGGGTAGTCCAGATTGGAAGGCAGCTAAGTAGGTTGCTGGTTTGAACTGCTCACAACAGGGACAGAAATGAAGTTCCTCTGAACTTCATTCAAGTGAGTTCTGAAAGCCTGCAGCAATGCGGAACAGCCTAACCAGGCAACCTTTTCCAATGCCCTGACAAGCCACAAAGTTTTTCCTTACAGTCACTCTGAACATCTCCAATTTGAACTCATATCCACTGTCTCTTGCCATCTGACCATAGTGAAGAGCTTGGCTCTTCAGATCACTGATAAAGATGTTAAACAGGACAGCTGCCTGTGAACACCACTGATCTCAAGACCAAGTACGACACATTAACCCTGACTTTCTAAGCCAAGTGACCCAACTGTTGTTACCCATCCGGTTGCCCACCCATCCACACCATGACATACACGCTGAGAGGATTCTCAGATGTGTCTCCACAGCACATGAGCTACCTCTCAGTGCCCGTCCTTATGCACCCTTTTACTCCGTGACAGATACCATGCATAATGGATAAACTGCATGTTCACATGTAGGCCGGACTCACAGTACTTTTTCCTTGGGGTCTTACTGATTTGGATACACTGGCAACAAAATGGAAAACTTGAGAGTTGTAATAATAACTCAGAGCATTGAAAATCTGGCAGAGGAACACTTCAGTCTGACAGGTAAACATTTTAGAGAGCTTGCTGGCTGAGAATGGAAATTCAAATAAAATTGAGACGAGAAATAAAATACGGTTTTAAGAGAGTGAAGCAATTAGACCTGGAAACAGCTTAATTACATACTGATGAGTTCTCAGTCATTTGCAGACTTTAAGCCAAGTTATTTTTGTCTTCATAAATACATACTGCGACTCAGTCATAAATTACAGGCACGATCTAGAAGCTTTCATGTGAAATTTTAAGCTAGATATTCGTAACACTACCTTCTAGCCACCAGTACTTACACTAACATTCACATCGTAGGAAATCCTGCTCAGTTTCTAATATGTTGTGTTTATTTTCAAAATAAATGAAAGAATAACATTGTCATCTACTTCTTGAGATTACATTGACCTATAATTAACTTCCCTTCCTTTCCATTTTTCCTTTCTTTCCACCATTCCTAGCTACCTACCACTAGGGACAGGGAGTATTTACCTTGCATGTTTCATTTTAGATAGCTGCAGATATCACCACATGTGAAAAGCCACATCAAAATACTAAGAAAACATGGAAATACTTTTTCTCTCTACAATGAATTCTAGTATCCTGAGCAGGATACTCACTGGTGTCTGTACAATCTCACAGAATCAGGTAAAATAATCCACCTACCCATGTGGATCTTTCAATCAGGAAGGAGCCCTCAAGAAGCACAGTTTAGACAGACACAGCCTTCTTAAATTCCTACAGTTCTAACACTGAGTAGAAGCTGAATAATTCTGCTTAAAAAGCAACAAAGATCCAAGTAAAATGCACTTTCCAGGTATCCTGTCCTGGGAAAGAAAAACTGGTTCTTAGGATGAGATTTTGAAGAGAAAGTAACATTCCTTTTCTGCACATAAAATATTTTGGCATCCTGTATCTTTCACACATATTTGGCTATAAAGAAATATTTTGGAAGCACTTTCCTCCCAGATAACAAACACTGGTCTGGACAGCCTGCTGCACAATCTGGATTACAGGGACTTTTGATAAAAAATAAAAATAATTACTTTTCAAGCATTTGTCCACAGCAGTGCATAATACAAAGCTGAGGACGAGTATCAGACAACAGAAAGTAAGGCCTGACAGCTCCACAACTTTCCAATTTGTCCTTCCAAGTGTTCCGAGTAGGTCAATTCATGTTTTATTTAAAGGTGAAAGTATCATCACCCCAAAATCAAACTTCCTTAAGCTCCTGAGGTCTTTCCCATGCCCTTTCTTTCCCCACCAATCTATGGAGTATTTAGGTAGAAAAATAAAACAGGATACTGAATTGAAGCTGAGAGAGTAACAAATGGTTTAGCTAGACTGAAATTTCTCGAGCAGGGCTTCTCAAGGCCACTATTTATTGTCACGAGTGCTGCACCCAGCTATCTAATACAACATGTCCCTCCGGAGCATGGTAACACACACTCAAACATTCCTGCCCACCAGTTACTCACCCAGGGGAAGAGTTTCCAGCAGATAAAGGTAACACTGAAAGAAGTCATTCTGGATTGCCTTATGTAAATCAAATGACATGCTGTGGCGACAGAGTTCTTCGTCTGTCTTGTGCCAGCGCGACTTAAAAGCCAGATGTGCTGCTTTATATGCCATGATGATGTTTTTCACAAGAGTAGGCAGCTGTTGTGGCTGCTGCTCTCTGAAGGACCTGTCCTTCTGAAGAGGCAGAGGCGGTGTCATTTAAACTGTGGCAGCATGCTGTCATTCTATATTGGGGTGTGCGTGTGTGTGTGCAGCAGTGCAGGGGGCGGAGGCGGGCAAGAGGGGAGTGAGAAATGCTGGCTCTTGGCACTTCCTCAGTGTAATCCCTGAAGTGTCGCCCTCTGAAGCAAGCAGGTGCTGGAAAGCGATAAAAACCTCAACCAGGAAATTGCTGAGCCAGGGTAAAAGTATATCTACTTCAAAAAAGAGTGCCTTTAGTTCAATTAGACTTTCCCTAATCTATGCAGCATTCACTTCAAAGAAACTCAGATACTATCCAGGGTCTCCCATCTCTCTTTAATCTCACAAGAGAATTTTGTTTCTCTCTCTCAGTATTCTTTGGTCTGTGGGAAACCAAGAGGAAGGCCAGAAGATCAGAATGGGGCATATGTCTCTATACAAATTTGGCACCCTAATAAGCACCAATAATGATTATATATATTATAGTAACCGATAATGATTGCATGCAACAAGAAAACAGTAGGCTCGTAACAATTAGATCAGTGCAATGGAATGGTGATACAGGAGGTGTAATAACAAAGGCACTGGTGCAAATGAAAAGACACGACAAAGGAAAAGTGCTCACCCATCTCTGAAGATGGAGGCTCACAGGGAAAACCCCACAGAGGGATCTCCAACCAGAGATCCTTCCCCAGTGGCAGTCAGCCCTTAAATGAGATTGCCTTAAATGAGAGGTGCAGCCAGGCTCCACCCCTTGCAGTCACACAGCTGAATTGCCTTCACCTGTGCTCCTGTGGCTGGCCACTCCTTTCCCCAGGTGCTCAATCAGTGGTTCAGGCCAGGATTCAGTAGTTACCAGACAAGGTTCAACATCATACTTTGCCATTGTATACAGCAGGGCAAACCACTCTCTAGGACTGTAGGCTGCCCAAGTTCATGTAATCTGATTAAATGGTACCAAGCATCTCATCCACAGAGGCTAGCTGCAAGAAACTGCTGCCTGGGAGCCAGCAGGTACAGCCAGGAAAGGGTAAGAGTTTTTTGTTTTAGCTATCAAAATACATGGAAGAACAAAAGGAGATAAACTGTCCGTTAATAAACTTAGACTAATGCATTAGCTGGAAAAGAGGAGGAAGTTGAGCTTCAAGCATCCAGAGCTGCAAAGGTACCTGTCACGGGGATGGGGATTTTGTGCTGATGGCACTGACCTCCATGCATTGTGCTTGTGAAGGTTTCCTCTTTCAAGCCTTTTCTTCCAGTTGCTTGCAGCATAAGCACACTAAAACACAGCAAGGCATGGTGAGAAAGTTGGATGTTTTCAACATAAAAAGCCTCCTACTGTATGTCCTGAGCAGTACTGCAATTACCAACAAATGTCTGATCAAGCTTCTGAGCAAGGAGCTTCTGCCAAAAATCTCTAGTATTTGGCTGCACCGCTGTTTTTTTTAAAGAGGCTCTGCCTTTATGAGATGATGCTAAGCAGCATTTAGCAAAGCATCAGTTAATCATTGGGTATTACTACCTGTTTTGTTTCTTCAGTGAACATCCCCTAATACCCATTCTCACCTAAATGCATTGGCACACTGCTCTGCCACTTGATCCAGTCTAATTGATCACACAAACATGTAAGTGAACAGATCAGTGAATAGATATCATGAAAACTAATTCAGAAAAATGTACTTTTCTTTCAAGTGGCATCAGTCTTCAACTGACACAAGGGAATTTGTCACACGCTACAACATGAAGCTGAAACTGTTATCTATGATGGCAGTAGCAAGAGTCACAATACACAGCAGCCTTCACAATAATGCAGATCTCCCCCTGTATCTTGTCAGATGAGTGCTGGATCTGGTTCTCTGAAAGTCAAATGTAATCAAAGTACTGGAAAATGCATTTCTATGGCCTGATTCCTCCTTGCTCTTGTATTCACAGAAGCCCAGGTTAGAAGGGACTAAGGATCACGAAGCTCCAACCCCCCTGCCACATGCAGGGCCAACAACCTCCCCATTTCATACTAGACCAGGCTGCCCAGGGCCCCATCCAACCTGGCCTTGAACACCTCAGGGATGGGGCATCCACAACCTCTCTGGGCAGCTGTTCCAGCACCTCACCACTCTCTCTGTAAAGAACTTCCTCCTGACATCCAAACTAAATCTTCCCTCCTTCAACTTAAAACCATTTCCCGTTGTCCTGCTGCTATCTACCATTTCAAAGAGTAGACTCCCCTCCTGTTTATTGACTGCCTTTAGGTATTCCCTCTGTTGGGGTCTCTGCTGTGCCTTCCAGCTTGCTACATAAGCTCACATTTTCTGTCTGTCAGCACTGTGAACAAGCTCAGTGCAGAGCTTATAGTTGCCAGAAAAATGCAAAAAGAGACAAACGTGCAGCTGAGCATGGAGTAGGGAGGGTGGGATCACGGCAGAGATTAGATCCGCTCTGGTGCCACTAGTGCACCATAGCCCAGACCTCCCTTGAACTGTGTTCTATATCCATCCTTAGAAACTCTTAGCTCCTTCCTGAACTCTATCAGTGAAGCATAAGGTCCTCTCCAACCAATTTTGAAATGTGACCCCTGACAAAATCCTGGTGTATCTCTTGGTTCCCTCACAAATCTGGCCCTTTCTTCAAGGTTGTCTATTTTCAGCCACACTCAGTTAATGCACCAGTAATGGATGTGTCAAGACAACACGTGAACGCTTTGGAAAGAGCTCACACATTGTCACTGATGAAAGACAGCCCTACAAACTCCCAGCCCACCTGCTCCACATTTGACATCATACTTCACATTTGGTATGGCTGTGATTTTGGCAATACCCATTGTGTAGCAAAGTGACCTCTCTGCTTAGAGACTTGCAGAGACTCCAAGCATGAAACCTAAGCCTTGGTGTGTCCTAAGGGAGCCAGGTGCTAGGACAGCACAGTTGAGCACACTGAGATCACAGGCTCAGGGTTCCCCACAGCCTTGACGGTCACAAGGTCCATTTACATCTGCTAAGAGGAGGTGAGGTACAAAAGCAGAGAGGGCTTTGCTTCTCCTGCCTTCTGTGCCCAAATGGGGTTTAACACTCCCTTTGGGTCCACACATTTGAATTCCTCAGTGTCTCTAAAGCGTGCCGAAGCAACTGTCTCCACTGAAGATCTCTGCATTTACACCCTCCAAGAACCTTGCCAATACATGCACAGGGGAAACTGGGCATATTTCAGAACAGCTCCCTTTTTAACATAGTGCCACAGATCTTCTTGTAACGTACTCTTAGTCTCATTTCCTTAGGAAAAAAAGATGCATTCTCTTTGCTTATGTATATACCTTTGAGTTTCCTCTGTTACTCCACATCCAAACAACATTTAAACCAGCTCAACTATTTCAAATAAATTCCACAGATATTTCAAAGTTCACAACAAAACAGTAGAGCAGTAGACAAAGGTTTCATCCAAAAATGTTACCCAGGGACAGCACAAAATCTGTAAGAGGGGAGGGCATGGGCACAACTGCACCTCTTTCCAAGGCAGCATTCTCAATCATCCAATACAAATCTGTCAGAAACAGTTTTTTTTAGACTAAATGTTGATTGTAACTGTGTTTGTCCCACTCAAAAACAGTGAATATCCATGGCAAGCTGTATAACAACTCATTATATTCATTCTATTTGCATGTAAACAAGACTAAATTCCTGTTCTAAACAGCTTTGAAATCTAGGAGAGGCACACTGCATCTTCAGATACTGATTAAAGTGAGTCACAACAGCATGAAACCTTTTAAATCATTTTCAAAGCATTTCCTTCTGCTGCCAAAGGTTAGACAGCAGCAGATTTATGTCCAGAAGTGCCTGAAGAAAGCCACATAAATTGCACCTTTTTCCCCCAGAAAGTGGATGCTATATTTTCTGTGTATTTGCAAGCAGCAAATCTCAGTATCACCTGCTAAAACCACTCACAATTCTGATTGCTTTACACTGCCTCCTAACTCCTTGTTTTGAGAACAAGCAATACTGATCTACCTAGGAGCTGCAAACGTGTAACACTTTATTATATAGCCTACATCTCCACTAACAAGAAGAGTGGAGGTTTAATATAGGCACCCATACTGCTTCTAGTGTCACTGCTGGAATGTGAGACAGTCCTTTCCATTTTAACTTCCTTTACTGAATGGCCATTTGACTCTTTCTGAAGTTTTCTGAGACAGAAAGTCTACTTTTTTGTTCGTAGCAGAGAAAGCTAGAGGTCCAAAGCTTTGAGTAAACTGAAGCCCTATGCTAAAATAACAGCAGAGACAGTCATAATGCACAACAGTCATTGTCTTGAACAGCTTCTGGTCTAAAATAAGAATGTGTTGGTATTTAAGTGAGTAAACAAATAGTTCTCCATCTGTCATCTTCCTCCTCCCTGTAAGACTAAGCAGTCCAAGGACATCAAGTTCTTCATTGATGAAAATGAAGAATCAGAGTTACAATACCTTCAAATGGTCTCTGCCTGAGGGCAGTAGGTTTAAAACAAGTTATCAGATGCTTTATGATTCAAAGCAGATCTGTTTGTTGGAGTATCAGGGAGAAGCTGGACTTCTATATTAGTAGGTCAGATCTGCAGATCTGAACTCTACTTGCTTCTTCTGAAGCACATCAGCTGCACAGAAGAACACGTGCACCAGCACTACATATCACACAGGTCACAAAGGGTCAATTTGGCCTTTAAATTACTGTGTTCTGCTTAGAGAACACCTGGTATGCAATGTGATTTCCACACAGACCAGCCATCAGGATTGTTGTAGGATGTCTCTATCTTAAAAAGGCTTTTATATTAATTCTTCTCCCTCGTGCTCACAGCTGGCATATGATGTCAGGAATAAATGTGGTTAAAGCAAGTAATTTTTGTTTTATCTCTGACAACAAGTTTTTAAAAGTTCCTGAAAAACCACAGGATCATGTCGACAGAGGCACAGGCAGAGAGCACACATGCAGTTATGACAGCAGTGAAGAACAGCTGCAGGTTGGACTGCAGGTGGTAACCTTTACAAATGACTTTGCTGCAGCCAGAAAAGCTG